ACCTGGGCTGAACAGAGGGGAAGGATCACCTCCTGTACCTGCTGGGCAATGCTCTTCCTCACACAGTCCAAGATACTGTTGGCCTTCTGAGCTGCAGGAGTGCACCACTGACTCATGGCCAGCTTGTAGTCCACCAGGACCCACAGGTCTTTTTCTGCAAAGTTGCTTTCCAACTAGTTGATCTCCAGCTTATACTGCTGCATAGGGTTATTCCACCCCTCAGTGCAGGACTTTGTTGAACTTCATGAGATTTCTACCTGCCCATTTCTCCAGCCTGTCGCAGTCCCTCTTTGATGGCAGCATAAGCATCTGGACTGTCAACCACTCCTCCCAATTGTGTATCATCTGTAAACTGGCTAAGGATGCACCCTGTCCCACCATCCAAGGCATTAATGAAATGGCCAGTACTGGCTCCAGTATCAAGACCCCAAAATACCTCACTAGTAATGGGACTGCAGCTGGACTTTGTGCTGCTGCTAACAACCCTTTAAGCCCTGAAATTCAGCCAGTTTTCAATACACCTCACTGCCCATTTATCTAGCCCATACTTCATCAGCCTCTCTATAGAGGATTTTATGGGAGAAAATGGTGAAAGCCTTGCTGAAGTCAAGATAAACCACGTACACTGCTCTGCCCTAGTCCACCAAACCAGTCATTTCATTGTAGAAAGCTAAGGGGTTGGTCAGGCATGAGTCTGATCTCCTATGATTCCACGATTTTCCCTGCTCTCCTCTCTCAAGGTCCTGGACTCCACCATCTCATGGTCACTACAAACCAGGCAGAGCTCCATGTATCCCTGCTGCTCTCACATAAAATGCCAATTCTGCTCCTCACTGTCCTGGCTCACCCTTCCTGGCCCAGCTCTGTCCACAGCAGCACTCCAGTTATGCGAGCTATCCTGCCACATCTCTGTGGTCCCAAAGAGACAAGCCCTGCAGCTGCACACAAGGGCTCAAATGTCCCTTCTTTCATCCTTGTGGGGTGTACATTAGTGTACACACACTTCAGAGCATCGTTGGTCTGATTTCCACAAAGAACTCTGAGCACTTCTTAAATACTCTTAATGGGTAATGTGTAAAATACTGTGGCAAATGAACTGCTGGAGACAAAAGGCCTTCCAAAATGATAATTCAGTGCACATCACATTACCGAGTTCCTCTTTGTAGCACTTTTAACACTGCCATGCTTAATTAAGACCACTGAATTGAACCACCTCTTCTTTCTTTTAGTATAGAACTAAAAACTGACTTGCATTTTCAAAAATTCTAGGTGCCTGTACTTTCTGTGGGTTTCAGACAGACGTGAAAATGCTGAGTGCATCTGAGAATCACTAGCTTGCTTTGTTTTCAGACTTACTGACATGGAGGATGCCGTAAATTTAACTAAGCTGCCCTTTTTAGATGCACATCAGTTAATTTATCTCCTCTCTCTGTCAGAGTGAACAGGAAGGCCACAATGTTACATGTGAAATGCTTTCAGGGATATAGCACATATTTAAAAAGTGCTTATCCCCATTATCCTATTCATTTTGGTTGTTATCTGAGCTTAACACTTCTTTTACGAAATCTAAACTAAGTTAAATATGAGCAGAGTTCAAATTTTCATATGTAGTTCGGATATATTCAACTTCTCAGTAATGGCAACAGCTTTTCAGAATGAAATACTTTTACAAACCTTTCCGTGCAGAAATGGTGTGAGACATTTTTGACATCCTAGCAAATAACTTCTACCTTGAGCTAGAAAGGCTTCCTGAAAGGACTTTTATGCTCCAAAAACTTTCAGAGATACGTGACAGAAGAAAATAATTCTCCAGCCTCTGAAAACATTTTCATTATGGGCCTGGTCCCAGTCTCAGTGGGTCAGCTTGTTTTCTAGCTTTTTTCAAAGTGGAGTAAAGATACAGAAACTTCTTGTAATCTGCAAGAGGAATGTTAATGGCAAGAGGAAAACTACCTGTTCACATGCTAACCAACTGCTCCTGTTGTGTTCCTCCCTTTGTTCTCCCTCCTTAAGGGAAGAGCTACAAGAGTGTACCTAACTGTAATGGAGACTCACCCTAGTGACTTCACTGGGATTTTCAGGTGCAATTCTGCTTCCACCTAAGCCACTGAGGTTTTACCACTGACATAAAAGCAGAGCAGGGTCCTTGGAGTGTAGGCAGAATTTTACTGCCTGTTTATTAGAAAAATTAAAGTGTTTAAGCAAGAGTTTAATCCGTTTCTTATTTCCTTCTATTGTGAAGTCATAATATTGTACTTGTGACTCTAAAATAACAGCTGTACTCTGCAAGAGAGAGTCCTTATTAAGCACAAATATCTCAGTAAGAATCAAATGCAGCATAGTATTCGTTAAATATACACCTTGTAGTATAAGCACACATTTATTTTCAAACATGATCCAGTTTAAAAGCTTGCCTGAGAGCCTGTATTCTCACTGATTCGTCTAAGATGTTCTGAGGGCTGAGGTGTATTAAGTACCTGAGGTCATGCTAAAGTTATATTGTGTTTACTTTGCCAAATTTTTAAAATCTGGAATGTCATCCTGTTTTCAGCTTTGGTTTTATGATGGTCTAGTTCTTGTCACATTCCTTTGGAATGAATGCAGTTAAGTGTATGACTACATTTGTATTTTTAAAACAATGTAATTTATTGGTTCTATGTTACTTTTTACTTTTGAACAATCTCCCCCAACATATGTAGTGCCTGATAGAATCATAGAATGATAAGGTTAGAAAAGACCTCTAAGATCATCGAGTCCAACCGTCAACCCAACACCACCATGCCCACTAAACCATGTCCCTAAGCGCCTCATCTACCCGTCTTTTAAATACCTCCAGGGATGGTGACTCAACCACTTCCCTGGGCAGCCTGTTCCAATGTTTAACCACTCTTTCAGTAAAGACATTTTTCCTCACATCCAATCTAAACCTCCCCTGGCACAACTTGAGGCCATTTCCTCTTGTCTTATCTCATACTCACGTAGTTTATTGTCGCAGCAACTGTATTAGTGCTTTCATGCCTGCTATCCTCCCATTGCTCTACTATGACTGCCTAATCAAAAACCACACATATTTCATTAACTTCTGTTAGAACAAAATTCTGGCTAATAGCACACAACTTAAAGAAGCAACTTAACATTGCTCCAGGTTGCATAGGTCTTCATTACTCCTGGAGCAGGCAGGTAGCTGCCTGCATGTCAGCTGCATGCAGAAACAGCATGTAGACCCATGTATTGTAAAATTTATTGCCTTGTTTCTGAAAAAACTGGCTCTATTTCATTAGCCAGTCTGACTATCCATCTTCATTGTATGCAATTTTACCGCACATGCCAAAAGCATCATGTTTTTTTCTCTAATGCTTAATCCCTCCTTAACATGTCATTATAATGATTGAAGTTATAATTAGAAACAATGACTTATCCCAAACTGACGTCTCCTGCACTGAAGAAGTAATCAAAGCTGCTTTAAAAATAGATCTTGCATGATGTTTACACACTCTTAATTTTCATAAGTGAAACCACTTAGTATTGCACTATTAAATGCATATTAAACCATTTTGTCAAGGTAAAAGCAAGGATCTGGGAACTCATGCCCTTCATGCAACATTCTATTAAATTGCTACCAAGATACGAGGCAATCTAGATAGATTTCTTGATGGGGCTAAATATTTTCACCAAGAGTAAGATGGCTGTTATTGAGTTTCTAATTTGCAAGGTGTTACTGCATCCAGTTACGCTCATCTGAAAACAGGCAGAGGTAGAACATGGTCCTCTCTCACTTCAGCCTTTTCCCCAAGTGTCAGATCTTGCAGCCTGTTTGCTTCTTACCATGCTCCCATCACCTCACTGCAGCTAACTCCCCTCTACCACACCAGCTGAAAGGCCGCTGTCTGCCAGAGCACCAGTTGCACCTTCTATTGCACCAACTGTTCTCCCTGCTTCCTTACCTGCACAATTTCTTGGAAGGTAACTTTAGACCCCTTTTCTTCCCCCCTCTACAGATTTTGCTACAAATAAGGGCCGCATTAGGAGGAAACTCAGTCACAGTATAGGTAGTACGGGTCACGATGCCACCATTCTAGCCGGAGTAGTAATACTCCACTCAGGGGCTACATTTAGGGCCAACGCTGCACCTTTCACGTGTCGCAGGCCTGTACAACACCGCCAGACGTACCGCACTCCACCGCGGGCGCTGCTGTGCAAAAGCGCACCGAATTTGGTGCGC